GAACTATAGGCATGAACAATCACACCCAGCTCCTATGATCTGGTACTGCGTCAGAGTCTGCTCAAGTGTTTCACCTTCAAAGAGCTGGTCATACAGAGGAGGATCTGGGAAGTACCAGCTTTTGACTTGGACGAGCTAGCCAGGAACAGGGAACCGCGGTCCTCTGAAGGAAGAGTGGGGGAGCTATGGAGTAAGGGATTTCGAGAAAGAAAAGTGGGTGTGCCCAGGACCATAGGTATGTGGGTGCCATGGGGACTGTATTAGCTACTTTTCTCATTGTAGCAAAATACCTCATAAAAGCAACTCCAGCAGGCCGGGCAGTAGTGGTGCATGCCTTTAATCCCAGCACTCGGGAGGCAGAGGCAGGTGGATCTCTGTGAGTTTGAGGCCAGCCTGGTCTGCAAGAGCTAGTTCCAGGACAGGAACCAAAAGCTACTGAGAAACTCTGTCTCGAAAAATCAAAAAAAAAAAAAAAAAAAAAAAACCAGAAAGGAAGAAAGGAAGGAAGGAAAGAGGGAGGAAATGAAGGAAAGAGAGAACAGAGACATAAATGTTGATCCTCAGCCCAATTCTCCTCTTTTCCTTTTTATTCAGTCTGTGCTCCTAACCCATATGATGTTACTGCCCACATTCATAGTGGGAATTCCCTCCTTAGCTAAGCCAATCTAGAAATATCCTCAGAGATAGTTAACTGTGAAGAGACACCATACAAGGCAAGAAAGCATTTCACTGGTGGCTTGTTTTCAGTTTTAGAGGATCAGTCCATAACCATCATGGTGAGCAGCAGACAGCACGGCCAGGGAGCAGTAGCTGAGAGTTCTACATCCTTCCCACAGGCAGCAGGCAGGGGCAGGGGGAGAGAAAGAGAGAGAGCAACTAGACCTAGCGTGGGCTTTTTAAACCTCACACCCAGTGACACATCTTCTCCAACAAGGCCACACCCCCTCATCCTTCCTAAACAGTTGCACTAGCTAGGGGCCAAGTATGCAAGCATAGGAGCCTCTGGGGGCCATTCTCATTCACCATCAGAAAGACACAGAGGTGTGTCTCCTAGGTGACTCTAAGCTCAGACATGGCAAATCTACCCTTTGTCGACTCAACACACAGATACATCACATTGAACCGTGACGTCCCATCCCTGGTCTTCAAAGGCTCGTGGTTAGCTCATATTGCAAAATGTGTTTAGTTTATCTGTATGAGTTCCCCCAATGTGTGTGTGTGTGTGTGTGTACACACTGTGATGTGGATGGAGTTCAGAGGTCATCCTTCAGGAGTCCCTGCTCACTCTCCATGGAGTGAGGGCTCCAATGGTTTCTCTGCTGCTGTGCTGTGCTCCAGGCTATGAAGCCTGTGAGCTTCTGGGTAGTTACCCTATCTCTGCCTCCCATCTCACCTTAGGAGCACTGGGATAACAAATGTGTGCCCCCACGTTCTATTTTTCCCCTGGGTTCCGAATATTGAACTCAGGACATCAGGCCTGCATGGTTAACGCTTTTACCCAGTGAACCTTTTCCTTGGCCCATGATTTCCCAGACTACTGATAGTTTTAAAACTGTTCGAAATCCCAAAGTCTGAGACTCAGGGTTACTCTCTCAACTGTAAGCCCTAGTAAAGTAGCAAGAACTTACATAATTCCAACACACAATGTCACAGGGCAATTATTCTCATTTTAAAAGAGGAAAAGGGCAGGGCAAGCAAGGGTTGGACCAAAGCAAGACTCAAAGCCAACAAGACAAACACTAAGCCCTGTTGTGCCACGCTTGGTGTTGGTGGTCTCGGTGCATCATCCGGGCACCAGTAAGTCTTCTGTGGTCTCGTATCATTGTTATTTGTAGCACACATAGCGTCTCTCATGAGTCTGCTCTTCTTCACGCCTGTAGCTTCCCTCCATGGCTTCCCCATAGCCCTGGCTTCGGCAACACCCTGTTCTGAATCAGCTTAGGCTTGACCTTCACAGGTTTGTGTAATATCCTCTCCAGGGCAAATGCTCTTGCACCAAATTATATCTTGAGTCCCACTGACTGTGTTTCTATTGACATTCATGCCTTCTCCAAGTTCACCGAAATGGCCCACTGAGCTCTGCTTTTAGTGTCTTAGGCTTTCTCTAGCCCATGGCTTCTAACTTTTTATTCCTCTCATAAAGCAGTTCTAAGGGCCTACAAACTACTCACTTGGATTTATGACAGCAACAACCCCTGGTACCAGCTGTCTATGGTAGTTACTTCTCGCTGTGATGAAAATACTGGGGAAAACAACCTAAGGCTTTATTTCGGCAGACAGTTTGTAACGATTGTCCATTGTGTCAGAAAGATACAGTAGTGAGGGTTATAGTACGCCTCATTGTTAGGAAGCATAGAGAAAGTTTTACTGGCATTCAGGCCTCCCCCCCTTCTTCAGTCTAGAACCCCAGCCTATGGGATGGTGCCACCCATTCCTTTTTCAGTTAAATATCCAGAGGTGTGTCTCCCAGGTGAGTCCCCACACACACACGCAGGGTTTCTCTGTGTAGCCCTGCCTGTCCTGGCACTTGCTCTATAGGCCAGGCTGGTCTTGAATTTAGAAATCCGCCCACCTCTCCCTCTGAGTGCTGGGATTAAAGGCATGTACCACCACTGCCTGGCTTCCTAGGTGAAGTTAGCAATGGATATTAAGATTTAGGTCACAATGTCATGGTTATGCCTTTTTGGGACAAGGTTTCGCTATAGTTTCAGAGCCTGTCCTGGAACTAGCTCTTGTAGACCAGGCTGGCTTCAAACTCACAGAGATGCGCCTGCCTCTGCCTCCCGAGTGCTGAGATTAAAGGTGTGCACCACCACCGCCCGGCTGGTATATGTCTTAAGATCCTTAATGCATAGTGTTATGATGTCTGAGGGTCCTTGTATATTTTATGTGGTTTGGTCATGCTGTGCATGAGACGGTCTATCTGGGTCTCCATATGTGTAATCATGTTTTACTTTGATCGTATTTGTGGATAATAGAGTATTAGGTAAAAACATATGTTTGTGTATGTGGTCGGAACAGGCCTGTGCCATTAAATGTTACTGTTATCTATGTCACTGTTGTTCTAAATGTGATACAACATGCCTCTGTGTGTGTGTGTGTGTGAGTGAGACAGAGAGAGAGAGAGAGAGAGAGAGAGAGAGAGAGAGAGAGAGAGAGAGAAGAGAGATTGAGTCCTATTCAGACAATCCCTTAGACTAGGCATTACCCTGAGGAGCTGGGTTAGCAGTTAGCAGACACTGAGGCCGCCTCATTCTTGCCAGCCGTTTCTCATAATACAAAGGGACCAAGCTCCAGTTGACGATCCATGCCTGTGAGACCCAATAGGCGACCTGGCCCCAGCTGTCCTGCCCATCCCTACCCCAGTGTTTATTGGTGGTTGGAGGGGAAGAAGACAGGAACCCGGAACACAGGGGAAGTGGGAGTTAATGTGCCTTCCTGGGGTCTTCTCTCTCCCCAGGCCACCCTCCAGGGCCCACTAAAAAAGCCCTGAAGCAGCGTTTCCTCAAGCTGCTGCCGTGCTGCGGGCCCCAAGCCCTGCCCTCAGTCAGTGAAAGCAAGTGCCTCTCCTATGCTTCCGGGGGCGGTGTGTGTGTGTGAGAGAGAGAGAGGGGGGGGGGGGGGGGGGGGGGGGGGGGGGGGGGGGTGAGAGAGGGGGGGGGGGGGGGGGGGGTGATAGGAGGTGGGGTAGGAACTGGGTCTGAATGTGAGGCCTGTGGCTGCAAACTGGAATGTACGTCCGGATCTGAGTGCCTGTGGGCATCCCTGGTTTGCAAAATGGAGGACCAGGGTTTGTTGTATGTTAGACTAAAGCCTGAGCCAGTGTAAGCATTTCCAGTGTGACCATGGCAGGGTGTCCTAGCTAACCAGGTTACTCTGCGCCTCTGTGGCTTCCCTACTGTTTTAGACCTTGGAATGTATGTCAGCTGTGCCCTAACAGGGTGTGAGGTATAGAGGGTGGAGTCCACCTTCCCAGATGTCAGGATGCTGAGGTTTTTCTGTCCCAGCCTGGTCAACTAAGTGGCTACCAGTTGAGTGGCCTCCTTTTGTCTGTAGGTTCCATTTCTTCAGCTGAGCCTTGCCTACCTTGTAAAAGCACACTGAAATTTGCAAGCTATAAAGGCCCTGTCTGTAGCTGTTTGAGCACCTAACCTAACGTTGCTTCTTCACTCGGATGGGGCCACCCTGAGAGCTAACCCAAGAAGGGGGCTGTTCATGAGGGGTCCATGTTGTCATGGATGTCTGTGCTCACTGTGTATGTGCCTGTGTTGTGGGTCTGGGGTTCGTGTGTTGAAACACTCATGTCTGTGAGATTTTCTGTGAGCGTGGGGCCAGGGGAGTGTCTGCAGGGCTTGGTCTTCTCGGTGACAATTCCCTCCCTTCAGCATTAGCTGCCCCAGCCTCCCTCCGCCCCCACAGACCCCGCCCGCTGGACCCAGGTGACTTACTCTCCTGGTTGGGGCGGGATGGGGGTACTTGCCTGGGGGCTGGACGGTGGGAGCTGGGGTGGGATCGGGGGTGGAGTCAAGATTGGGGTCTGAACAAAGATTGGCTGGAGCTGGGTGGGGCATGGCTCGGGCATGGCTGGGATGGGCGGGGCTTGATTGAGATTGGGTTGGAGGTGGGCTCTCCCAGGCTGGGGCTGGGCTAGTAAGAGTTGGTCAAGAAAGAGCCCTTCGTGGTCCCTCAGAAGCTCCTGGGCCCCATTATATCCCCTTTCTAAGAAGTTGCGGCGGCAAGGGACTGTCCCCAACCCATCCCCAGGGGCCAGTGCTAAGTCCGTACCTCTGGCTCTGGAGCCAGATGTGGCCTCAGCCCCAACAGACCCCGAAGCTGACCAGTGTCTTTTCTGCTTTGACTTCTCAGCTCTGAGTCTGACAGGCTGGGCTGGGTGTAGAAGACAGGCTAGGAAGGAGCGGGGAGGGTTAATAACTGAAGATTACCCAAGCCGTCTCAGGGGCCTGGCCTGAGGCAGAGCTATCCCCTACCACTCCCCGCAGACAGCGTGGAGGATGAGTTTGAACTCTCCACCGTGTGTCACCGGCCTGAGGGGCTGGAGCAGCTGCAGGAACAAACCAAGTTCACTCGCAAAGAGTTGCAGGTCCTGTACCGAGGCTTCAAAAACGTGAGTAGAGGGCGTAGCCAACTGGGCAAGGGCTGAACCGGAGAGGTCTGGTGCTTGCAATTACCTGGAAAGTTCGGCCTGGGTACTTTGAAGAGGGAGATGGGGCCCAGAGGCCAACTTTCAGGGCCCTTGGGGTGGCAGGCTTGTGTGTTTATTTGTACACTGGGGAAGAAGTCTTCTTGCCAGTCAGTACCAGAACTCTGGTAAGTTCCACAGAGGCAGGAGATTTGTCCTCCTCCTGGAAGTCTCTGGCCTAAGGGTGGCGGTGTGTGTCTCTGCTGAGTCTGTTGTCCCTGTGCAGGAATGCCCCAGCGGCATCGTCAATGAGGAGAACTTCAAGCAGATATACTCTCAGTTCTTTCCCCAAGGAGGTGAGGAGATGGTAGACACCCAGGGGTAACGGCTGTCCATCCCTAGGCTGAGGAGGGAGGTGAGGAGATGATAGACGCTCAGGGGGTAACCGTTGTCCATCCCTAGGCTGAGGGGGGAGGAGGGTTCTGGAGGGCTGGGGATGCTGAGATAACGGGAGCTGGGCAAACTGCAGAAAAGCAGCAAGTCCCCTGCCTGGAGGCCCAGTTCACACCCCACTGCTCCTCCACAGACTCCAGCACCTATGCTACTTTCCTCTTCAATGCCTTTGACACCAACCATGATGGCTCTGTCAGTTTTGAGGTGAGCTAGGAGAGATGAGTCAAACAAGCCCGTTTCCTTGGGCTTCAGGGGGCCAAGGTTTCCACACCAAACCCGAAGAATGGCTTGGCAAAGTCAGCTCCCCTCCCACCTCCTTTTCAGGACTTTGTGGCTGGTTTGTCGGTGATCCTTCGGGGAACCATAGACGATAGACTGAACTGGGCCTTCAACTTATATGACCTCAACAAGGATGGCTGTATCACCAAGGAGGTGCAGGGCTGCTGGAGGGCAGGAGGGGCCGTGTGTGGGGTTCTGGGCGGTGATGGCGCAAAGGGGTCTCATAAAGAACAATGTACAGCTGTGTCAGCAGTAAGGGGGGAGGTCCGTCCTTGGCCCTAGGCCCCTAAATTTGGAGGCTGGAGGCTCTTGGGGGAAGTAATCTCATTTGGCTCAACAGGAAATGCTTGACATCATGAAGTCTATCTATGACATGATGGGCAAGTACACATACCCCGTCCTCCGGGAGGAGGCCCCAAGAGAGCACGTGGAGAGCTTCTTCCAGGTACCTGGGTCTGGGTGGCCTGGGGGCCCTGGAGTGGCGGGAAGGGGCCCTGGAGTGACAGGAAGGACCAGGACCCAATAAGCCTCTTCTCTAAGACTCTCTCATCATCCCCTTGTTCCCTTGTTCTCCCTGCTTGACCACCTTGCAGAAGATGGACAGAAACAAGGATGGAGTGGTCACCATCGAGGAGTTCATTGAGTCTTGTCAAAAGGTACGGCCCCTATTTCCCTGGTCTCAGCTCTAGGCCTAAGTTAATGGAGCCGGAAAAGGCCCCTGTTGACTTTATGTCACCCCCCCACCCCAGTCCTGTTCTTCCGTGACCAAAGGGAACTTAGCCCTTCCCCACCTGAGATGCCCCTGCATATCCATCCTCTCTACTGCCGGCTGTCCCCATCTCTGGTTCCATGTCTTTCTCTGTGTCTCTGATGAGCTCTTCTTTTTTCTCTCGCTCTCTTTACTTCGCCTCCCTCACACCGTGCACCATGACCGTAGGACGAGAACATCATGAAGTCCATGCAGCTCTTTGACAATGTCATCTAGCCCCCGGGGACAGGGGTTAGTGCATCCTGGGGGTGACCATGCTCTAGTCCTAGTTCAGGTGAACCTAACCCTTCTCTCCCAGGTCTCTCCTCATTCTACCTGTACCCTGGGGGCTGTAGGGATTCGAGGTCCTGGGGCTTCCGTAGTCCAGATCCCCCAGAGCTAAGTGGCAGTCGTGGGCAAAGTCCATCTGGGAGGGGGCGCTCCCCACTCCGGACGGCTCTCATCCCCTTCTCACCAGACACCCAGTGCTGAGTACGCTGAGGCCATCCCGGTGTAGGGACTGAGTGGTTCCTCACCTCCCGCCCCCACTCTAGCAACCACATTAGACTGAATGTCTCCTGCTATGGTGCTTCCCCCATCCCTGATCTCATAGACGCCCCTCTAAGATTCCTTTCTCAGAGAACATGCTCTGCCCATGTCCCTGGCTGGCTTTGCAGCCTAGCCTTTGAGGGTCCTGTAAGAAGGGGGACAAGAAAGTAGAGCCAGTGATTGGGTCCTAGGAATTGGTTGGAGTGGAGAACAGAAAGCCTGGGCAGGTTACGAGAGCCCAAGTGGGGCTGCCACTGCCAGGTTCTATGGGTCTAATGGCCCCGGATAGCAGAATATAAGTTCCCTGACTTCCCAGAAGGCCTTATGTCCTTAGCAATGTCCCAGAAATTTACCATAAACTTCCAGTGTCTTAGGAGAGCCTGGGATCCAGATATCTGGTTCCTCCCGGAATCCTCTCTATCCTTCTTGCTTGTATGATGAGAGTGGTGGCCAGGGGAAGATGAGTGGAAGGTGTCCCGGACGATGCCTTCAAAGTCCCATCCTGCCCTCCTGCCTGTCACCTGTTTTGATGGCTTCAGTTTCAATTTTCCATGGCCTCTACATTTAGAGGCGTGGAATCAGGGATTTTCCTGAATTTGAGTCTTAACCACTCCTCCCAGTGGCTGCCTTAGGGGAACGGGAGGACAAAGGCAGGCACATCTGAACCCAGTATGGGGGCACTCATTGGAATGGGTTCCCAACCCTCCACAATGCCCTAGGGTCCCTCTCCCCCTCTTTAGTCTACCCAGAGATGCCCCTGAGCTCACCTAGAGGGCAGGGACCCTAGGATCCAGGTCGGACCTTATTGTCAGCACCCTGCCATGCTGCTGCCCCTCCTAATATGCCGGCTTGTCTCATTCCTCATTCCTCACCTTCCCAGTCGGCTAGGGTCTGAGGGGAGGGGCCGCACAGAGCCCCTCCTGTCAGACATTGTTGACTGCTTTGCATTGTGGGCTCTTCTACATATTTTGTAAAATAAGACACCAGATCCAATAAAACAACGGCTATGCACAGCCTGCTGCCTCTGCTTCTTTGTCCCGCCCACCCCACAAATGCCGTGGGATCCAGATGACAGGCCTACAGCCCTTCAAAACCCAAAAAGGTGCTCGCCTTTTCAAGTATGGCCATCCCTTGGCACATACCCGAGACTCAGGAAATCCATCTGAACTTAGCCGCTGCATGAATCTCCTCCTGACCTGAGAACGATGGATACTGTCTGAAGATAATGTGTGCCAAGGAATTTGGTTTTTTATTTTCTTTTGCCATAAAATGTATTTTATTCCAGTTCTAGAAAATAGAGAGAGAATCCTTCCATTTATTATTCTAATCCAACATGACTGTGAGTTTTGGAAAATAGAAGCAAATACATACATATAAATATATATATACATTATATATTTATACATAAATATATATGTATAATGCATATATACATCTACATATTTTCAGACTTTAGTCTCATTGATGTTTGAACCTTTTTTTTTTTTTTTGGTTTTTCGAGACAGGGTTTCTCTGTGGCTTTGAAGCCTGTCCTGGAACTAGCTCTGTAGACCAGGCTGGACTTGGACTCACAGAGATCTGCCTGCCTCTGCCTCCTGAGTGCTGGGATTAAAGGCCTGCGCCACCATCGCCCGGCTGATGTTTGAACCTTTGTTCTTGTTTCTCTCTCTTCTTTTAAGAAATTTTTCCTGGAAATCAAACCCTGGTCCTCTGGAAGAGCAGCCAGTGCTCTTAGCTGTTGAGTAACCTTTCCAGCCTAAGATTTTTAATTCTAAGTAGGCTCTGGGCCTGGGGTGGATTCTTGTTTGGTCTTTGTTTCTTAGCCGAGTTCTGATGGTGGATATGTTGGCTGTTGCAGAAAGGGGGTTGTTTTGTGGACATTTCCAGTTCATGAGTTCTTCCCAACTTCATTTCCCCCATAAGCTCAGGGAACAAGAGGGATTCTCTTTTGTTGCTTTCTGTCCATAATGATTAAGAACTATAGAAACTCACTGACTTACAGCATAGGCCAATGTTGCTTTTGCAACTACTAACAACTGGATAGATGCGCAGTTTTCTTAGATCCAAACGTCAGGCTTCTGAAGCTACCCTCACTCCACTCTGTAAAAGTTTAAAGTATGTGTGTGTGTGTGTGTGTGTGTGTGTGTGCATCCATTTCCTATGGTGTGTGTGCCTGTTTGTATGTGTGTGTAGGTTGTAGGTGCTCCTGCATCTACCTGCATAGGCTGGAGGGTGAGTTCTGCATTGTCCTGGCTACTTCTACCCTTGCAGGGATGAGCAAGGGGCGGGGCCAGTTTTCTACTTTCACCCATACCTACACCAATAGGGCCAGGGCTAGTGTGTTGCCCAGGCGAGGTGCAGGGGCGACTCTCCAGAGTGCTGCTTCCGTTTTCTTTAAATCCAGATGGTAACTGACTTTGTAGAACCCATTCTCTATGTAGAGATACCTTGTTCAGCCTAGGCGTGGGGTGGTGGAGAGGACCTCGGTCCTGACTCAATGAGGGGACAGTCATAGTTGACTTTCCAAGGGAGGCCTTAACTTCTCTGTGGAGGATGGGAGGTGGGATGGGAGGTAGGGGAGAAGTGGGAGGAGGGAGGGGGAACTGGGATTGGTATGTAAAAACTAATTAATTAATTAAAAAATCCAAATGACTGTTTTTCTTCCTCCTTTTTTTTTTTTTTTTTTTTTTTTTTTTTTTGAGGAAGGATGTCTTCAAACTCACTCCATACCTGAGCATGGGCTTGAACTCTGAGCCTTCTTAAACCTTTTGTCTAGTGCTAGGGTGGCACCACTGTTTGTTTTGTGGCTGAGTAGACGCCCTGTGCCAGGCAGCAGAAGGAAGAGCTGCTGTACGTGAATAGACTCTGTCTGCACGTGAACGACAAGGCCATTCGTTTCCACTGGAAAGACCGTGTGGTACCGTATATATGGGGGAACTTTCCAGATTCTTTTTCTTTGACCACATGTATAATTACAGAAACACATCAGACTGTGGGCAAGGTAACCAGTTTCCCTTCCTAGTGGCCACCATCCTTATCCATGATCATCTCAGCCTCAGGTTTTATAGGCAAGCTATCTTTTTTGGCAAACCTTTTTTTTTTTTTTTTAAATCCTTGAGACAGGACCTCACATAGCTGGTTCCAAACTCCCTTTGTAACCAAGGATGATCTTCAACTCCTGACCCTTCTACCTGTACCTTCCAAATGCTGGGTTCACAGGAATGTTCTACCACACCCTGCTTTGGCAAACATTCTTAACATTTGAATCAAAAACTTCTGATTTACAAATTTAGTTACTCTGAGAAGTCTTTTGAGAAGTGCTCTCTCCCTTCCCCTCCCGCTCCATTCCTGCCTTAAATGAGTTGGGGATTATTATAAAGAGAGTTTAGGACCAGTGAGGTGGATCAGTGGGTAAAGATGCCTGTTGTCAAGCCTGCTGACTTGAGTTCCCCCTGTGGGACCCACATAGTGGAAGGAGAGACCCAGCTCCCACAAGTTGTCGCCTGACCTCAGCCCATGCCTGTGGCACACACGTATCTATCCCAAGTAACTGCAATTTTTAAAGGGAGAATTTAACATAGGCTTAAGTAAGCATGGAGTTATGAAGAAGAGGAGGAGGAGAGTAAGCACTCTGGAGCCTCAGTGTGGCTTTCTCGAGAGAGCCTTCAGTTTGAATGAAAGCTGTTTTGTGTAAACACAAGTTTGCCTATGTATATAGATCAGTAGCGCGAAGGTATGAGTCTTTCTCTGTCCCGCCAGCTCCCAAATAATAACATGGAGATTTATTAATTATGAAAGCTTAGCCTACAGCTTAGGCTTGTTCCTAACTACCTCTTATAACCTAAATTAACCCATTTATATTAATCTATGTTCTGCCACGTGACTAGTGGCTATTACCTCTCCTCCTGCACATTTGCTGACTCTGCATCTCCTGGCGTCTCCATCTTTATTCTTCCCAGAGTCCTTTCTGTCCCCAGAAGTTCCTAAGCTCTTCCCGCCTAGCTATTGGCCATTCAGCTCTATTACACCAATCAGAAAGCACCTTTGCAAAGACACATCTTCACAGTGTAATCAAATATTTCACACTATGTCTTATTGAAAAGTATGATAATGACATGATGCAGCATGGAAAAGATGCTTATGTACACTGGAAGATAGTTCGCAAGATTTTCTTGAGCTGGTTCAGCAGGTAAAATGCTTGCCTCCAAGTTGGATGACCGGAGTCCAATCCCTTGGGCTCCACAGTTGCCCTCTGATCTCCACAAACATACCCATGTCACGAATTCACAAGCTGTGTGCACCTGGTACATGTAATAAGTGTGATTAAAATTTTTCTTCCAGGGGCAGGAGAGATGGCTTAGTGGTTAAGAGCACTGGCTGCTCTTCCAGAGGACGGAGGTTCAATTCCCAGCAGCCACATGGCAGCTCAGAACAGTCTATAACTCCTGTTCCAAGGGACCTGACACCCTCACACAGACATACATGCAAGCAAAACACCAGTGTACCTAAATAAGAAAATAAATAAAACTTATTTAAAAAAAAAAAAAAGAAGTTAGCTGGGCAGTGTTGGTGCACAACTTTAAACCCAGGGAGGTAGAGGCAGGCGAATTTCTGAGTTTGAGGCCAGCCTGGTCTACCCAGCAAGTTCCAGGGCAGCCAGAACTGCACAGAGAAACCCTGTCTCAGGGGAAAAATAGTTCTTCCACCGAATGGAAACTGGTGTGCTGCCATTACAGAAGTCATCACAGGATCAAGAAGAGCAACTTCTTGCCGGCCACCTGAGCCAAGAACAACAGATTTCCTCCGTGCTTCTATACACTACCTCCCGGACTGGGGAGTGGCTGAGGGTAGGTTCCTCCCTTCTGTTTCTGGAATCCCATTACAGCTGACTCACCCAAAGGAGGAAGTCAGGCCTTCCCCCTTCCTACACACACTGACAAGGTCAAGGGAAAGTTGGTTCCAAGAAAGAAGCAAAAACTGCCTTGTAGGGCCAGAGTAGAGAGAACACTCAGCACACCCAAGGCTCTGGGTTTGAGCCCCAGCATCACAGAAAGCAACACCCTACTTACAGATTTGTTTTGTTGTCTGTGTTTCCTGTGAATCTCATCTGGGAACTGTCTGCTCCCTATGTCAGGTCGGTCAAAACGATCTGATCAAAACTGTGGCCCACTATCCGCAAAATTTCCATCCCTCCAACCCCTCCCCTCACTGTTTTGTTTTTGAGAGGTTGCCGGGCCTGAACTCCAGGGTCTGGTATATACTGTAAAGTACTGTACCACTGAGCTGTACTCACAACCCACTCTTGTAAACTTTGGATCTGTGAAGTTCATCTACAGATCCTAAGAACCGAGTACCTAGTACTGGCTATATCCCTATACCCCTAGATTTACTTTTTTGCTGTTGTTGTTGTTGGTGGTGGTGGTTTCTGGAATTGTTACCAGGGGAGTTCTTTTTCCTTTTTAAAAATAATTTAGCTTTATTTTATGTGCATTGGTATTTTGCTTGCATAGATGTCTGTGTGAGGGTGTTAGGTCCCTGGAACTGGAGTTCACCGCTGAAACCATCTCTCCAGCCACCTTCCTTCTGGGAGTTCTAAGTCTCATTTGTTAACTTAGAGAAGGATCATTTTATTAGCATTTGGGAGAAAACCAGCAGGGAAAGCAAGCTGTAAACTTTGGTAGCTGCCAGGAGAAGAGGAAGAAAGTCTGGATTTAGGGTCAGCTTGATGGTTTGAAAGGAAATGGCCCCAAAGAGAGTGACACTTTAGGAGGTGTGGGCTTGTTGGAGGAAGTATGTCACTGTGGGAGCTGACTTTGAGGTCTCTTCTCAAACTTTGCTGCCAGTCAGTTTCTTGCTGCCTGCAAGATGTAGCACTCTCTGCTCCAGCACCATGTCAGCCTGCACACTGCCAAGCTCCCCTTCATGATCACAGTGGACTGAACCTCTGAACTATACGCCACACCAATAAACTGTTTTCTGTATCAGAGCTGCTGTGGTCATGGTGTCTCTTCACGGCAATGGAGAGACCTAACTAGGGCAGTCAGAAGTGGCGGTCTGCAAACTGTAGAGAGAAAGGGAGGGGATCTTCCAAGAAAGCAGAAAGCCCGGGGTGTTGAGGCAACCATGCTTAGAGTTTTGGCAGGCATTCAGATGAGAGGGGGAAGGAGGAAATGACAAAGTTAGGCTTTTTAAGATAAAACTCAGAAAATCTGGCAGGCTTAGCAGGGAAGATATGTATACAACTGTATATACTTGAGCCACAGTG